AGAGAGAAAAAAAAAGTAAAAAATTGAATCCATTGTGAATGTTTCCTGCATTATATTTTGAGCCTCGTTGAGCTACCATGAAGATAGATTAATGACGGGGCTAAGCATTCAACTGGAAATAGATTTCAGCATGTGCTTATGCATATGCTTGTTACTGACCCAAAACACGCACGCACACACACACACACTCATTCTTATTAATCGCCCCAGTCCTCGGGCTGTAGCTTACCCAAATCACAGTGCGACTTGACTTGGTCCAATCCTTTGCGACCCTATCACATTTATAAATAGCAACAAGTGCTCGCCCCTCGCCACGTATTTAAATCATATACAAATGTTTTGTTGACTCGTCTGCTGGGTTTATTGAACCCCAAATGGGCTCCCATCTATTGTTGAGAGTGTTTTTGTTTTCTTATACATCAAAAACAGGTTTTTATATATGTCGATTCGCTGTTAGAGCTCAGCTAATTACGCTTCGGTTATTCATTGATAGAGCTCATATTGTGAATAATGTTATATATATGCTATAAATATGTATATTCATACATAAATATATATGTGAATACCATAGAATTCTATTAAATTATTAATTAATGAATTAATGCAAACATTTTTAAGCAATTTGATTTTTAAATAATTTTTCCATTGGGAAAAAATTCTAATTAGTAATGAAAAATAAATATAAATTATAAAAAATAAAAGTAATTATAATTATTTTTGCAAAATATTTTTTTTTTATTTTTATTATAAAAAACCTTCAGATTAGCACAACCATTCTGAACACTGCTATATATATGTACATATTTTTATATACACATATGCGATATAGCTTATGTAGAACTTTTAATTTTTCACATACTTTAGACACACTTCACTAGCTGCTGAACCTAATAGGAACATGTTATTTGCCTCTATGTGAGAGGCACGCTCTATCAAACTTAACTTTAAATAGTTTTCCAGCTTTTAAAGGGAATTTCACACTCCGAAATGTGTGCGTGTGTGTGCGTGCGTGTGGGTGAGTCAGTCTCGCAGGGCATGCGTATGTATGTGTGTGTGTGTAAGTGGCAAGGGACTACAATGGGCATGCACAGCATCATTATCATCTTAATTATCAGCATCGTTATAAGGGCGCATATACATAGTTCGTATTGTCGCCATCTGCCAGAACCAGCATGTGACTACTTTTCTGCACTTGGAAACTTTTTAGCCACACACACACACACATACACACACACATTGACAAGCCAAATGTCGAACATAAAAAGTTGTTGTTGATAAGTGCTCGACTAGCGAATACTATGTAAAGTTGAGTGGAGTTCATAAGAGAAGAGAGATGGGGCGAAGGGAAGCGAAGGGGAAGAATATGAGTATATAAGTTGCTTATGAGTGAGCAGAGATTGGGAGAGAAGACTAAGAAAAGAGTGCAAGAGGGAGAGAAGAGAGACAGTATAAATATTGTTTATACATGCTATATATATTTTATATAAACTCTGTCAGCTTTCAGCTTATTTCAGATATTCAAAGTGCGCCTTCTTAAAAAGATATACAGTCGCGTTTCGATTATTTGTATTCCCCGTTAATTCAAAAATTGCGGTAAATTGAAAAAATGTTTATTCCTTTGATCGAAATTCGCTCTCAATAATTCTCGATAATTTGAATTTCTGATACCTTTGCATTTCGAATTATTGGGATACTGCTCCATAAATATATTTATTTTTAATTTTTTTAATATTTATTATTTCATCTACATTAAATACCCTTTCTACTATATAGATTCCAAAACCTATGAAATATATCACAAAGGTCCCTCCAAATATTAACCAAGTGCTTCAGTGCAGCATAGCCCGTTGTAAGGGGGCTTCGAGGCGGCCCATGTTGGCTAGTTGCAACAGTTCGACATGACTGCAATAAGGACAGAGGGACATTTCACATCAACGCCATTGTCGCAAATCGTTTGAGTTTAGCAAGCATTTCTCATAATTTTACCACATTCTGCATCCGTTCGTAATTTGTAGCGCTTTGTGAGGCAAACAGCTTGAATGCCGACATTCACAATGCTGTGCACACACACACACACACATATGTATATGTATGTATATGTAAGTGCATGTATTTGGATATGCATGTGGGTGGCGTATGTTTGGGCAGAGCCCGCACCTTGAATTCCCGCCAGCTGTCTGACAACTATGAAGGCAGCGCCAGCGACTGCGACAGCGACAGCAGCTTCATTTGTGCAATTAGAATTCAAACCGTATAAAGAACAAACTGCGCTTTTTATGCCAGCCAAAAAAAAAAAAAAAAAGAAAAAGAAAAGCCAGTTGCATAAAAGCCAAAGACGCCTTGGGCCACATGCATTCACATAGTCATTCATTCATTCCCTCAGTCAGTCAGTCAGTCAGTCAGTCATTCACACTCGTTGTGTCGCCAGCGCCGGTTTCAGTTTCAGGCTGTGCTCATTCATTAGATAGCCATGAAGGCCGACTCGTAAATAAAACTGTATCCCGCATCGGATTAGTAGCTGAAATGAATAGCTGCAACTGCAGCTGCAGTCAGCTCCCAGTCCCAGCCCCAATCTCAGCCTCAGCCTCAGCCTCTGCCTCAGCCTCTGCCTCAGCCTCAGCAGCATTCTCGGTCTCAGCTTGTGCTTACAGGTTTTTGGCCACAGCCTGTGCTGCTTTAGCGTCGTGTGCATTTTACGAGCAGCCCCAATCTCCAAAAGGCAGCTCAGCATAAAAACTATAACAAAGGTGGGCGTTGAGCGCTGACTGCCACAGCTACAGCTCCTGCTGCCACTACTGCTACTGCTCCTGCTGTCACTACTGCTCCTGCTGCTGCTGTTGCTTCTTTTGGCTGTTAGCTTCTCAGTCAGTTTTATGAATGCTCACCGATTTGCTGCTGACAATCTGTCCGCCGGCGTTGTCCCCCAACAAAGCCGGTCGTAGAGACCAGCGAGACCAGAGCACAGAGCTGCCGTGCTGAATGGCTGGCAAGCAACTATGGAGCAGATGGACTCTTCTCTGCCTGGTTTCCTAATGTCGTGTTTAGGCCAGCAAATGATATTCTCAAGGCATTTCCTAATTGAATAGTGTGGCTGACAAATTTCAGCTTGGCTTTGACTCTGGCACAGTCAGATCTCTCTCGCCCTCTCTCTCGCTTTGCAACTGCCACATGCCTCATGCTCAATGCTAATTATATGCAACTCTAAACATCTCCAGCCACGGAATGCAGCAAGTGCAATGGCAAATCAGCTTTAGATTTTGAAATATGAATACCACATATATACATATACTTATATATGTACATATATTATTTAGTCATGCTATGGCAGATTTTGTCAACACGAATGACCCAATTTATATGAAATGAATTTGTTTTCCTACCGAAATGACTGCCCATCTAATTTCTGCTGTTATTATTATTTGATTATACTGTTTACATAACGGAACCATGTATTCAATTTGCTGTAATAATATTATTAGAAAAGGGTAAAAGTCATTGAACTTGATGCCAACTTGACAGCCACCTGTCGTAGGCCTGTCAGGCAACTCAACGGAATTCATTCGAAGCTATTCAACTATTCACATTCATTTAACAGTTTGCCTGGAATTTTGGCCTGAAGGCATCTTGTTCAGATAGCTCAACGATGGAATCATGGACAGCAGACAGGCGGGCTTATCTTGTGTCTACTCTCTCTAGTTTTTAGCCTTTAGTCCCTAGAGTAGGGTTTAGTGTGTAGTCACTCTCGTGCCTCTCTAACCCCTCTAGTCTCTGTAGTCTCTCTAACCTTTATAGAGCCCCTCTGCATTATTAGTCTCCACAGTCCCTAGAGTCCATTTAATTTCAGGCTCGCTCTAGTCCCTTTATGGTATATCAATAGTCTCTCATTGGTCTCTCTGTAATGCTTACATAGTATCTCTCGAAATTATCTTTGGACTTTCTCTATTTTCTGTCTTTAGGTCCTCTCTAGTCTTTTTTTAGTTCCTTTCTAGTCTCTCCATGGTCTCTCTCTCTAGACTCTCTCTAGTCTCTCTGTAATATGTCTTCCAAATTATCTCTAGTCTCCCTCTCTTCTATTTTTCTGGTTTCTCACTCCCTGGTCTCTTTCTCTGGTCTCTTTTTAGTCTTTCCTTGGACTTCTGCTGTCTCTCTGTTATCCCTGTTATCTTTCTGGTCTCTTTCAGGTCTAGCTGTGGTATGTCTGGTCTTTCTCTGGTATCTTTCTGGTTTATCTATTAACCGTCTTCAGTATCTCCCTAGTTTCTTTACTCATTTGCTACTCTCTCTAGAGCATTTCTTTGATCTTTCCACGGTCTGTTTAGTCTCTCAAGTCTCTCTAGTCTTTCCAGTCTCTCCTCAGTCTCTCTATAGGCTGTTCCAATTATCTTTCTAGCTTTTCCAGTCAATCTGTAGATTCCCTCTAGCTTCCTTTCTATTCTCTGTCCAGTCTCTATCCTGTCTAGTCCCTCTCTAGTCCCTCTCATTTTTCCCCAAGAGTGCTCCATTCCTTGTTTAGCCTCTAGCTAGTCTCTCTCTCTCTCTCTCTCACTCGCCTCCGTCTCTAGTCAACCTCTCTAACCTCTCTCTACTGCCTCAAGTTTCTCTGTGCTTTAAATTTAAGCCTCTTCCATAATAATACATAAGATATTTTGTGGGGCGCTGGCAAAAGCAATTTATGGTTTTTTGATTAATTGAATTGAAAAATTGCCAAAAAACAAAAAAATGAGAGAAAACAGAGAAAGGAAAACGATACAAAACACATATGGAAAGTGCATGGGCAACATGTAGGCGTTTTATGGAAATTTTTGAAATAATTTTTATTATATTTGTTTGCTCAAATCGAATTTGAAGTCTGAGTCTGAGTGAAGCTGATGCCAATACTAATACTAATGCTGATGCTGATGCTGATGCTGATGCGGGCGTAATGTGAGCAATTGATGATGTGAATCGTTGTTGAGTCGGTGTCTTATATTTGTTGCTGTTGTACTTGGAGTCTGAGTTGCTGCTGCTGCTGCCAGTCTCGATGTCTTTCGAGCTGTTTTGGTCTGGCAAATTGTGTTACGGAGCAGAGCACAGCCAAAAATGATTGTGAAACGGGAGCCAGGTCAGCTGCGGCTCTAGCAGGGCGAGCAGCATTCAATGGCAATTGTTACAATTTGATTTGGCGCAACTGAAGCCTGGCGCTTGAGCGCTGCAAAGCGAAAAGCCCCTTAAGTCCCCGACTCTGTGGCAACTGCGGCAACTGTGGCAACTGCGGCAACTGTGCCACTGGAGCAGATCCAGCTGCACACGTGCAGCTATTTGATGTCACTTTACCATGCCATGCCATGCCAGGCCATGTCAAGCTGACGACAAACTTACCATTCTTCCATTCTTATCCTCATCCGCATTCTCATCCGGTTCCCTCGTCTCGAGCTCATCCTCTTATGCGCTCACATTTACGCCCTCGTTTTCAGCTAGCATTCAGTTAGCATTGATGTTACTGGCTGCGACATCATCATCCTTATGGCCTTCATCATCAGCATCGCCATCATCATCATCATCGGCTGATGCTGTGCCAACTTTAGCTGCTAAAATGTCCTCAAGTGTGGCCATAGCTGATGGCTTCGTTCGGTTTTGGCTCCGACTCCGACTCTGACTCTGACTCTGACTTTGGCTCTGCAATTGTAGCATTTTCATTTTTTGTTGCTCACAGCCAGTGGCTGAACCAGCGTGGCAGCCACTTACCACTGCTGGCAGACGGACATTAGCCACTGTTTGACCTTTGACTGTGGCACTGCTGCTGCTGCTGCTGCTGGCCATGGCTGGAGCATCTGGATGCTGCTCGAGCTGCTCATCGTTACGCTCTGGCACGCTTATTGAATTTCGCTTAGCTGTTGGCGTTGACTGCACGCCCGCCACATCGTGGGGCACGTCGAGGCTGCGCGGCAGCAGCGGCTGCTCGCCGGATAATGTGTCTGCGTTTTGGGCATCAAATTTTACACTCGGTTGCACACGAGGACCCTCCCCCTGCCTCCCACAGCCAGGGGGAGGGCCGCAGTAACTCGCATTACTTACGCATATCCACATGGTAGCCCCGATCGTCGGCGCTGTAGAAGACGGTCGAGTACTGGGCATTGGGCAGCGGCACCGAGTAGTAGCCCCGACGCGCCAGCACAGCACGGCCCGAGCCCATGGGCAGCCAATAGGTGCGCTCATAGCGCGTGTCGCCGTTGCTCAGCCGATATCTGGCGGGTGGAGTAGATGGGTTAATGAAGTGGACCGAGACAGGGGCGAACTCTATAACCTGTACTCGTGCTCGCCGCTCAGGGCGCGCTGATCGAAGCTCTCAATCGGGCCGTCGTTGGCTGTCGCGGGCTGCGGCTTCGGTGCCCGCAGTGGAGCAACCAGCGGTGGCCAGTGGTGCACATGCTGATGGCGGTCAACTGCTGGCATAGCTGTGGCTCTGCCGCTGCTGCTGCGTCTGGATGGAGCTGTCCAGCGCGTCTCGCCGACGCACAGGCTGACTCCCAGCAGCAGGAGCAGGAGCAGCAGCGTTAGCAACAGCTGCTGCTGCAGGCACTTTTCGATCTGCTTGGGGGCACGCAACATTCTCGCTCAGCTACGGACTTAATAATTGATTACTGGCCCAGACGACGGCCGGCCTTTTATACTACTCGAGTGTGAAGCCTTTTTTGTTTGGCCAAAGAGCGAGGAGAACAAGCAGGAGAGAGAGAAGGGGACGTAGAAGGAGAAAACATAATAAACTCGCACGTCAGTGGCAACGATTTGGCTGCCACTCGTCCCCACAGCCTTAATCCCCGAAATCCTCAGACACCCACGCCCAGCTCGTGACATTGACAGCGCGCCTGGGACTTTGTGTTTTTGATTTCAGCTTCAGCTTCAGCTTCAAATTCGAATCTGAATCCGAATCCGAATCCGAGTCCAAGTTCGAGCTGTGTGCTTTCTTGTGCCGCCGGCGGCTGTAATATGTGTCAGGCACAGGCACAGCCACAGCTTGACCAGGACAGACAGAGAGAGAAAGAGAGAGAGAGAGGGGAGGGCGGGGGAGAGGCAGAGTCACGGTTCATTGACCAGACCCCGGCATCAGCGGCTGTCGCTCTCCATTGAGTCTGTCCAAAATATGTGGGCGTCCATTTCTTTCAGCAGTCACTCCTTCAAAGCTTCGACTTCTCTTCTTTTCTTTTCTCTGCCTTTCTCTTCCTTTCCTTTTGCCAATGTTGTGCTTAACACTTGGCCATGTCCTTGACAATGGGCACAGCGGCGCGGCAGCTCCTCGACGACTGCTTGATAAATGTCTGGCGACTGCCGCACTTAATGCTGCCTCAATCATCTTCATTGCTCGTGTTATCGATGGCCATTGTATTTAATCGTTGACTGGACTGAAAAAGGCGTTTGCAAGTAATTGAATTCTTTTTCTTATACATATAGATATATACATATAGATATATATTTTATTTTGCTTCTCGCTTTGTTTTGGCTTGCCATCTGAAGTGCTGGCAAAAATAACTTAATGACTGTGTTTATGATATGTACATATAAAATTAGAAATCATATGGATGATTGTCTCTATACACATATTTCAAGTGAGTTTTGGTCTGATTGAGTAGAGAGATTTGGAGCCATATAATATCTTTTGCAATATGTATTTTTATACAAACAATTTGCATTCGTCATAAATTGCAAATTATATTCACGCTTGTCTTGATTGCATAACGAGACATACAGTCAGTCGCAAACGTATTCGTCTACGTATACGATTATTTTTGCTCGATATAAAACAATATATTTGTAGTAAATTTTTTTTATATTTATAAAATATATATTTAAAGTGTATTTTTGGAATATTATTGTCGAATTTTGATATTTGCATTGGGGATAAATTAAATAAATTAAAATAAAATTTGCTTATCTATTTTATTCTTGTTTTTAATTTTATGATCAATATTATTTTTTAATATTTTTTTTTTTTATGATTCGTGATTAATTAGAAATTATATTGAAGCTTGTCTTCATTTATGACGTGAAATTTGGAATGATTTATATATTTAAATATAGAGTTGTGTAACTTTTTTTTAAATATTTTTATAAAATTTTTTATATGTTATATTTGTAAAATAGAATTATGTACCTTTTTAATTATTTTTTTTATTATTTTTTTTTATTCTCGTTTATACTTTTAAAAGTAATGCATTACTAGCGACTTTTACTAAAGTATTGAATGAAAAGTTTTCAGACAAAACTTATAAGCGAGATGGGGCATTACTTCAATATTGAGACGCAAACAAGATGAAAATGTAGTGGCCCTGTCAAGGCTAGGTATATTGTCTTAACTTTCTTGCGCCGGAGTCCTTTGCTACTTCAGCCGTAGCCACTCAGGTGAGCTAGGTGGCCTCTGTGTAGTTCGTCAATCGACTTGGTGACATTTTTCGATTGACCTGTATTCCTCCATTCCTAATTGGAGCCCGCATTCCTTTGTATACAAGTATTTCATTTTTAATTGCAAGTTTGTTAGTGAGCTTGAGTAGTCAACAAAGCATTCCCTTTGCCTTCTTATACTCATTCAGGAAGTTAAACAATATATTGATTCTGGGCAATATTCGTCGTCGTTCGTCTTCCGCACTTATGTAGATATACATATAGATGATAATCGTGGTATAATGATATCGCACATTGGATCAAGAGAGTAAACAATGAAGAACGAGGCGTATGGTATACTTATACGGAGCGAGGCTTGAGCTCTAGAGAGTCACTGCTACCGTACAGTAATTATTGTTCCAAGAAGAACCACGTATGATGAGAGCTGATGCGAGAGACTAGAGTATTTAGTCTGAGCCCTACAAGCCGACACAGTCTTCTGAGTATAATTAAGTAAGAAAGAAGAGACTAGAGTCTGAGCTGCCTATTGTGGCTGCATTAAAATTTTAAATACTTTATATTTTAATATGATTTATCAATTTAGAAATTATATAAAAGTTCAAGTGAGTTCAATATAAATACATTGTCTAATTATTAAGCTGACTTAATAACATCTGGCGCTCTAATCACTCTCAAAAGTCTCGAAATTTGCAATTGAAATCAATGAAATTGATTGAATAAAGCTCTAATTGTTTCCGCTAAGTGACTTTCGTCATAAATAATTGATTGGCATAATTAGGCCAAAGGAATTTTCAACTAAACAGCTTAAATGTTGTAAATGTTGAATGGAGCCAGTGCGGTGCTGCTCAAGCATTACACCTGACGGAGCAGCCTTCCACTCGCTCCCACTTCCTCTCTGTCTATCTCTCTCTCTCTCTCTCTCTTTCTCTCTCAGTCTCTCTGTTGCGTGGGTGTCAAGTGGCACAGCTCGCTGGGCAAGCCGCTGGCCATTAAGCGTCTGCAATTAGCAGTTAACAGGCAGACGCGCCAGACCCTTGGCCAGATTAAAGTCCGCTTGTCAAACTAAAAGCACAATTAATAAATTTAAGCGTTTATTTCCCAGCATTTTGACAGCTGGCTGTCCCGTTAGTTCGCCAAGATGAAGCACACTCAGTTAGGGCTTTTAATGCGGCTCACTTGACCAGAACGGAGAGGAGCAGTCACAGCAATAATAACCATTCAAAAAAGGGAGCATGCGACTGCATAATGCTCGCCTAGGGATATTCTTTGATGAGACATGTCCTAATGGCAAGGAGATATAGTTGAAGAATCCGTCTGGAATCATCACAGATCTACATTTTATATCTATGATATATGATACATAACTTTGATGATCTATGACGTTATCTGAGGATCTTTGCTGATCTGTGAAGTCTATGTGGTTCTATGATAGCCTATTATGGTATGTAATGGTAGCCTATGAAGATCTAAGATTATAGAGGATCACGGTAGAACTGTTAAGATACGATCTATAGAATCGATAGCCAAAATTATATTTTTTTTCCAATAGACGTTGCATATTTTCGATGTTGCTATATCGTCTCAATTAGCGGATATTTAACTCAATAAAAATTTATTGACAAGTAAAGAAATGTATTTATATAATACTGGTTATCTGTATATTTATATTTATAAGATTTAAAAAAATTCCTTTTTTCGCAATAAAACGATATAAAAACAAAATAATTATTGCTTAAAATCGAGTTCAATGTTATGGAATCTACATATTAGTTGATTAATCAAGCTTTTCAATTTGGTGTATCTTTATTTATAGGAAATGAAACATTCTGTCTCGTTTTTCATTATTTTAGTAAAAAAAATGGATGCAAAAAAAATTCGATTGCATATGCTTAATAGCTGGTGAATCCATCGATGGAGCCACCGATGGGAGAGACAGTCGCATGGAACCACTGTCAATAGCTTTGCAGCTCTAGGGCAAATCAGTTGAGCACATGAGATGACAAATTAGCAAATTCATATCTCTGGCCGCTCACAGATATCAGAGCTTGCACAAAACTCATATACTCGCTTCAGTACAGAGAGCGAGAATTACAAGTTTCGCGAGAATGTAAATGCAGCGCCATAAAAAATGAATTCAAATGGCGATGTGGCCGCCAACTGCAGTTGCAAATCCGTCAACACACACACACACAGACACACACACACACACATGCAGACACTCTTCACACATACTTCTACGCAAAACAACAAACTAATAAATATTTTTACCCATATAAGCATAAAATATTGTTTCAAGTTTGGTGTGCGGCCGTACACAGAGTAGAGATCCATAGCTGGGACAGCTGCACCCATATATACCACACAGACTCTCTCCCCCTCCTCCTCCCTCCCTCTGGGCAGACCAAAATGGAAACTCAGCTTGTTTGTGCGCTGCCATTTTGCACAATATTTCATTTGCCAGCATTTCCGTGCAGCGTTACCCAGCAGCCAAGCAGCAGCGTCTCGCTAAACCTAAACCTAAACCAAAACTAAAACTGAAAAAAAAGAGCCTCGAATCCAGCCCCTCGACAGCAGTCGCTGGCCAGCAGCCCCACGTTGGCATGTGCAAGTGTCTGGGCCATGAATTTATATTGGTCGATTTCGATTTGAAAGTATTTCGGTTAGATAATCTCAGCATTTTTATCGCATTCCATGCCATGTCGACACACTGTTTGATCCTGCCGAGCCACAACAAAGTCCAAAAGTTGTCGACTCGGGTCAGCAGTCCGACTAAACATATTAAGCGTCAAGCTACTGCATGGCTCTATATACATGTGTGTGTGTGTCTGGGTGTGTGTGTGTGTGTGTGTATACAATATAGTATATGCTGTTGCCTGCCATCGAGTCCTGCTGCTGCCTCTGCCTGCCGTCTCCTGCTGTTGGTTGCCTCCTTCTTGCGGCCATGTCTTGGTGTAAATTGCTCAATTATAGGCCAAAACGACGCATCTGCGCGTTTGCTTCACGCTGTCCAACTGTCTGTCTAGCTGTCTGTCTAGCTGTCTGTCTAGCTGTCTTTCTGTCTGGCTGTCTGTTTGTCTGTTTGTTTGCCTCAAAGTTTGTTGCAAAATTCACATCAACTTGATTACTGCATGATTTCCACTGCAAAGTTGCCTGACAACTTGAGTTATTTACTTGTTTGCGTAAAAATTTGCGCATCCGTCAAACACTTTTTA